TTATTTCTCATTAAACCTAAAAGCATTCTTCCTCTGACAGTCTCCACGTGCAACCATGATCCACTACAAAGCCTTCTCCAACTCACCTCATCCAAAGTTCTCTTTTGCTACAGTCGATATGAACATACAGACAAAGACAAGTAATCTTACTTATTTACGTGATATGTTTCCGACCTTGACATGTGAACTCCTTGATACTTGGTCTTCTGCAGGAGGTGGTCGCCCAAGATGGTCAAAGAGAAAGATGTACACTGCTCATGGAGAAAGAGGGTTTGTTGATATCTTCACTTTTGAACATTAAAAAGAACGCAGAAACCAAGACAACCGCCAATATTAACAAACTCTTAGCGGAACACTAAAACATTCGATCTATTGTCCTGATTTGTGTAAAATGCTAGCTACCATACAGTGAAAGTCCATCAAAATAGAGAAGACGAAACTGTCTCCTGGGCTCCTACGCGGCCTCAACTGACCAAGTATAGCTTGGAATTCTTAGACAAGGCCATTCAATCACTTCTGCTATTTATCTGCTGCAGATCTGAACTTTCGACCTATCGTACCCATGTTCATATTCAACAACAGGATCTCCATTTTTTGCTGCCTCTTGGGGGGGCTAGTTGAGCCAAATTGCTGAGTGAAATTGGGAAAGAAAAAGAGTGGCTAGCCCCTTGCACATAGAAAGCGTTCATTGTTTTAAATTCCACAAAAGGCAAAGAACCTTTCCTAGGTAAGAAAGTCAGACAGGCTAACAGGAAAAGGTTGCACAGTTGCATGAACAAATAGCAAACCCAGAAGGAAGAAGTCCTGTAAAGTTCCACTTCATTTTCGACAGCAGAAGTCGACTTAGGATGTTAGTTCTAGAGGATTCAAGCCAACCAAGAATCCTGCATCAAATAATAGGCAACAACAATAATAAAACATAATCTACTGATTAAGAGCTTTCCTTAGGAACTCTTTGTTGATTGTACACAAAAAGTACGACTTCATTTTGAACAACAGAAGATGTGGATTAAGGATGTTCACTTTTTGTAGTTCATCTTAGAACCTGTGGTCAATAGAGGCACACATAAATTTCAAGCCAGCCAAGAATACTATAACCAGTAACATTAATTCAGTCTACTAGATTAGCATTCCTCTCATACACCTAAGAGAGGACCATGAGAGTGAAGGTCAGCATTGCAACTCCAAGAAGTTGAACTTGAATGAAAGAAAAACCTTGTGGAAGCAAAACCTTGCATAAAGAAAAAGGAGCGTCCTGATCTAGCAGGGGAAGAATAAATTAATATGTAGACAGTCTTCTTGTTCCATAGTGTCTCCGTAGATGGCTACTCAACTGCACTGGCCATTTTATTTGCATAAAGTTGCTGTTCATCGTTGGAAAACTTCAAATTCCAGACATATCCGGTCAAGAACGTGTATAAGTTTTTCACTTTGACATGGTCTCGATTTTTTTTTTTTTTCTATGAATCCTCTTGAGCAACTTCAAAAGATGCTACAGTTTCACATTCATGGAGCTACAAGCTCAATGCACATGTTGATGTTCAGAAAGAACTCACATAAACATACCCAGCCAAGAGCCTCTAAATTTTTGCCATGCATGCTCCAGGAGGAACCTCAATATCAAATAGAGATTGGAGCATAAGTGTCCATATTACTTAAGGCGGGTACCATCACATCCATTCGTGATAATCTGAACAGCAGACACTAAAATCTTGATATCTAGACCAACTGATGGTAATTCCTTTGTCCAAGTGATTTCACAACTATTCTTGTCTTCTGGGGTAAGGAATTTCTGTAATCTTAGTGAGCTGGGACGAGAGGATGTCTAATCTGACCCTTGGTATTATCATCTTTAATAAAAAATTGTATGCCTTAACTAAAAAACTTGAAAATAAAATGTAGACTGTCCTTTGCTGCTATACACAGTGGAGGAGGAAAAACCATAAATTCCCCCTCTTCAACTAAAAAGAATGGGGAAGAAAATCAAATGAAAACAAACAAAAAGGTAGACTGTCCTTTGCTGAATTAGGTGGACCAATAATAAAGAGACAAAAATCAAGAACTTAATAAAATCATTAACCTTCGTAAAAAAGTAACAAGAGGGTCGGTCATAGTTATGGTGGAAACTGCAATGAAGAAGCACAAAACTTGGCCTACCAACAATTCTAGAGAACGTATACATGGTATCAAACCTATCAGCAGAGAGATCAAACGCATAATGATTCGAGGAGATGGCAACGGACACAGTAAATTAGAAGGATCAGACAGCAGTGATGACATGAGCTCAATTTTATGCCAGCTACTAATTTCAGGCAGATCAACCTACAAAGCACCAGCTTTGATATCTTGCTCATGTAAACTTCAGTCGACTAAAGTGCCTGATGGCTAGATAAAAAAGCATTGCACAAATGAAATAATACTAATTTTGATCAAAATGTGCAAACATGGAAGTAGCATGGGGTCTACATCAAATATATTTTCCTAACCACAAATAGCCCACTGCAGCATTTTTTGCTGGAAAATCTAGAATCATACGGCCTGCCTTTTCTCCCTAATATTTAAAACATATGACAGGAGAAGCTAATGAAAGCCATTTCCACAGTTGCATAAGCAAAGGCAGAAAAACCAAAACCATTGAAGTATGCATTAGATTACGAGTTTGTTCTAATCACAATCCTGCTGTGGGGGTGAGGGTAGGGGCTAGGGAAAGTATCTGCATATTAAGCAATAGTGGAAATGCTGACATGGTTGCGTATTATTATTAAAAAAAAAACTTCCGTGAGCATATAGGGGCTTCTTGAGAGCATCGGATCACTAGAAGGGCGAGGATGAGGAAAACGTGGAGAAAATTTGGAAGGGTATCCATACGGTACAACGTAATATAGCGCAGATGCCTCTCCATTACTGCCAAACAACCCATTGTATCCCATACAACTCCAAACAGACATGCGGCATATGGATATCTTATACTAGAGAATAAAAGCAATCAGTGTTGAGCCCACTGGATTTCCTTGATATTTATCCCCTCCTTTACCATTTCATAAAGGGGACTCATTTCCCTTAACTTTTCCACCTGATGCACAGTCAACTCAACTGCTCGATCAATCTCAGCCTCCGTGGTGAACCTCCCAATGCCAAACCTGATCGAAGTGTGAGCCATGTCCTCATCCACTCCCAACGCCCTCAACACATATGAAGGCTCCAAGCTGGCGCTCGTGCATGCACTCCCGCTCGAAACAGCCACATCCTTCAAACCCATAAGCAAGCTTTCTCCTTCCACATACGCAAATGACAAGTTCAGATTACCAGGATAACGTTTCTCCATGCTACCATTTACCACAACTCCTTCAAGTTTCGCATTTATGCCATTCAAGAGCCGTTCCTGCAGTGCAGTGATTCGCTTATCATCATATTCCATTTCCTTCATAGCAAGCTCACAGGCTGCCCCCATTCCCACGACCAATGGGGTTGGGACGGTCCCACTCCTAATGCCCCTCTCTTGTCCTCCTCCGTTCATTTGGGGCTCAACTCGAATCCTCGGCCTCCTCCGCAAATACAAAGCCCCAATGCCCTTTGGCCCATAAATCTTATGTCCACTCAAAGACATCAGGCTTACATTCCATTTCTCCACATCAATTGGAATCTTCCCAAGCGCCTGAGCCGCATCAGTATGGAAAGGAACATTGAATTCCTTGCAAATTTTCCCAATTTCCTCTACTGGCTGAATGACACCAATTTCATTATTAACCGCCATGATCGAAACAAGGCCAGTATCAGGTCTAATCGCGGAACGAAGCTTCTCCAAATCAACAATCCCATCGGTCCCAACCGGTAAATAGGTAATATCAAAACCCTCCTGCTGCAAATGTCTGCACGAATCAAGAACGCACTTGTGCTCGGTCTGAGTGGTAATCACGTGCTTCTTCTTTTCTTTATAGAAATGCATCACCCCTTTGACGGATATGTTATTGGACTCGGTAGCTCCAGAGGTAAAAACAATCTCCTTAGGCGAGGCACCAATAAGAGCAGCAACTTGGGAGCGAGCCGTCTCAACGGCATGGTCCGATTCCCAGCCGTAAAGATGCGTCCGAGAGTGTGGATTTCCGTAACGAGAGAGATAGTAAGGAAGCATAGCGTCGAGTACCCTAGGATCAACAGGGGATGTGGCTTGCATATCAAGATAAAGCGGTCGTCCAGAGATTTTAACACCTTTCATAGAAATCCCAGATTCATCCTCATGGAGTTCCGACGGAGAAGTGGCTACAGCAGCGGCAGTGGAGAGATGACGTAAGCGCAAGACGGCGGGAGAAAATCCCGTGAGGGTGCGGCGTAAACCGGATGCAAGAATCTTAGAAGCCATCGAAGGGTGGGAAGGTAGCGTTGAATACAGGCTCTTTGTGAGTGCGAGATGGTTAAATACAGTGGCGAATTCGCAAAGGAAAAAGAAAAATAATCGTCATTCCGAGCTCTTCACTTCGAGATTTAGGGCACAACAAAATGGAGATCGCCACCGACTTACAAAGAATATGTTCCAAAAGTTAGACACGTGGCAGTATTATAATCCGGTGATTTTCTGATAGGTTGGCTTAGCCAAGCCAAGCCAAGCCAAGCCAGGTTTGACTTTTATTTTTCTGAACTAAGCCAATATTTGACTTGTTAATCAACGGTAAAATGACAATCATTTGGATCGTANCTCAGCCATAACTTACTTAATTGTCAAAAAAAAAAAAAAAAAAACAATAAAATATCAATTTAATATAATTGAGACATCAATTTGATCATTTTTATATTATTTTTTAATTGATATGAACGATTTTAAATACAGTAGAATATTAATGTCGTTAATTTATTAAAATAAAAATAATGGCAAGGGCTTTTTTTAAAAAAGGAAAATAAGAACAAAAATTTTAAATAATTAACAAAGTTCAAAATAAAATTTAAATATTTTCACACGTGTAAAAGAAAAAAATAATTTTTGTTTGAAATAGAAAAGAAAAGAAATTAGTGTGGAGGAAAGTTTTGAATATGAGGGCATGAACTATGTGATCGGAGATGATTAAGCGGGGGCATATAAATACGCAAACACCACCGACGGAGAAATTCATCAGATCCGAAATTCTCACCTTTTTCTCTCTACGGAAAGTCCCGTTGGACTTGCGAAGAATTGCATATCATTTCTCTCCTTTTTCCTTCAGCATTAACCCCCACCGTTTCCCCGCGCTCAGCTTTCTGATCCGGCTACATTTTCCAGGTTCTTATTCTTTTTCTGTCTGCCTCCTTCCTTCTTCAGTGTTTCAATTCCCGTTCAATTTATAATATGTGGAATTATACGATCTTGCTTTCCTTCTTGGAAGGAGCATTAATAGATCTGTCTTGTTTCCTAATCCAATGTACCGTTATTTCTTCTCTTTTCTCGATTTTGGTCTCAAAAGAGTAGGTTGCTGAAGATTTAGGAATGGAGATTTTGGACTCATTATAGAAATTTAGAATGTGAATGATCCAAGCTCCAAACTACTAGGATAATGCGTAAAGAATACATCTGTGATATTTTCTGGAAATTTGGAATGTGGATTTATGTGATCGCTACACTAGGCTTTGAATCTGGTACCAATTCATTTGCAGCACTGGTTCGCGTTATGGTTATTCATTTTCATGGTGGATATTTTTTTGGTTAAATGATGTTCGTTCAATTTTCATGGTTGGCAGGGGTTTGGAGAAAGCATTAAGGCTTGGAATTCATAATGTTCAGGTCCCCTCGAAGGAATCAGAGATCCAGAGGCTTCAAGGTGAAGCATGCCTTACAGATATGTCTTTTGCTTGGGGTTTGCGTCTGGCTTGTTTACCAAATTCAGCATTCTCGCGGTAAAAAAGCTAGTTTCGATGAGAGAACAAAACTTGATGTTGTGAAACTAGGGAGGAAGGACCTCCATCCTCGAGTCAATGAGAACCACAGAGAGGATGAGGAAGAAACCAGGAATGAATTGGAAAAGGGTACGTTTGAAAGTGATAATGAAGAAAAGGGCAGTGGGAATGATGAGTTTCACGATCAGCAAGAAGTTCAAGAGGAATCTGACAATAAAAATTTTATGGTGGATGTGGAGAAGGAGAGAGAGGAGACCAGTGAGATTAACGAGGAGACAAAAATCGAAGTGAACAAAGAAATGGAAAACGAAAACAAAGGAAATGAAGAGATTAAAGAGTTAGGAAATGATGATAATGGGGAGATCGGAAAGAGTCAAGGTGAAGAGCATGGAGAGGAGGGTAGAGGGGGAGGAAACGAAGAGAATGGAAATGAAGAATACCAAAAAAAGGAAAATCAGGAAGAGAATGGAAGCGAAGAAAGCAAAGAACGTGGAAATGAAGAAGTAACTGGACACGAAGAAAGCAAAGAACAGGAAAATCAAGAAGTGAAGGGAAAGGATGAAAACAATGAACAGGAAAATCAAGAAATGAATGGAAAGGAAGAGAGCGAAGAACAGGAATATCAAGAAGTAAATGGAAAGGAAGAAAGCAAAGGACAGGAAAATCAAGAAATAAATGGAAAGGAAGAAAGCAAAGAACAGGAAATCCAAGAAGTGAATGGAAAGGAAGAAAGCAAAGAACAGGAAATCCAAGAAGTGAATGGAAAGGAAGAAAGCAAAGAACAGGAAAATCAAGAAGTGAATGGAAAGGAAGAAAGCAAAGAACAGGAAAATCAAGACGTGAATGGAAAGGAAGAAAGCAAAGAACAGGAAAATCAAGAAGTGAATGAAAACGAAGAAGGCAAAGTGAAGGAAACTCAAGAAGTAAGTGGAACTGAAGAAGGCAAAGTGAAGGAGAATCAAGAAGAGAATGGAAATGAAGAACGTAAAGTGGAGGAGAATCAAGAAGAAAATGAAGGTAAAGTTAAGGTAAATGAGATGCCGACTGAAGAAAGCAAAGATAATGAAAATGAGAGAAAAGAGAGTGGAACTGAAGAGAAGAATGAAGAACAAGAAGTAAAGGTAAATCAAGAAGAGAGGGGAAGTGAAGAGACTGAGAAAAAAGAAGGCAATAATGAGGAGACCAAGGAGAAGCAGGTAGAGAATGTTAATCTAGAAACCAAAGAGGACAGCCGAGACACAAAGGAAGGTTCCAGGGATACCCTGGGAGACAACAGTAGCGACAACAAGGAAAACAATGAAAATGAGACAGACGCACAAGGACAGAAGGAAGGAAGTATTGAAGGTGTAGTTTCAGCTGAAGAACAGGTTCAAGATGGGAGTGATAGGAGTAATGATGATGCAAGAGAAGCACAATACAAAGAAGATAATGCTTCCAGTGCCATACATGAAGCTCAAAACATAACCACTGGAAATGAGCAGGATGGTTTTGCAAAATTAAACGAGGTAGAGTCAGTTGAAAATAAAGAAAACCACGAGTTTCAGCACGAGGATGTGAGGCGGAGTAGCGAAGCTGTTGATTCCAATACAAATGAGTCAATCCAAAATGGAAGTAATGCTGAGAGAAATGGAAACAATCAATCTGAGGTACCAGAAGAAGTGACCAATAATAACAATGAAGAGCAGCCAGTATCCACGGATAATGGCCGGCACCAGGATGATTCAATCACTTCTAATGAGAAAACTTCTGGTACAAGTACAACAAATGAAACTGCAGACAGCATCACTGTTGATCAAGATATCTCCACTTCAAAGCATGATGCTGCACTTGAAGAAAAAAATCAATTCAATTCATTGCTCAGCGTCACTGATAACACAGATACTTCAAATGAAGGATCCAAAGTGTCAAATACTTCTGAGCCAGATGAATCAGAACGACAAGTGAGCCACAATGAAAATGAAAATGAAAATGCTGGTCATAGTAACTCAAATGACAATTCTTCAGGTCAACAGAATGATCATGGTAATTCTTCAGATGTGTCAAACCTCCAAGACAATAATGCATCCTCGAGCACTGTAGAAGGTGCTGGCGCAGGACAGAATGACAATGAGAATGTTGATCAAAGCAATGGAAACTATAACAATCACCCAAAAGAACAATTTGACTCCCACGATGAGGGTGTCACATTTTCTAATACAAACAACAGTGAGGACCTGGCTAACACCGGTGATTCTTCAGGCTCATCTTTGCCTCAAGAAGAGAAGGACGCTCGCACAGATTTGGGTACCTTACCCGAAAGCAGAACTGAAGGGAATAACAATGATGAAACAGCCGCAAAGTGACATCTCCAGCTAGCTGTGGTAACGATATCCTCTTCACATGGAATTACGTCATTTTGTTTGTTTTCAGTTTTGTAAGGATCTTTATGCTTCTGTTTCGGAAATATATATATATATATATATATATAAACACACCCATATATTTTTTGGCTTTGCTGCTGAAAAAGTTTGGAAAGCTAGGATGACTTTTGAGCATTTGATGCTTCAGATTAGGACACGGTGGTCTTTTGTGAGTCAATTTTAGTAGCACTTTTTGTAATCTTCTCTCTCTTCCTTAATGTTCGTGTAATCTCATGATGCTGCTTGGTGGAACACCTCTCGGTATCATTTTTCTCCTATCATATGCATGTCTATATTTAATAGAAGGATCTTTCTCAATTCCTTTTGTCTCCATCAACTGAAAAGATTCCATTACTGAAGTTTGAAGGATTAGCTAGCTAGCTGTAAACCCACAACTAAAACTCAATATCTAAAATGGAATTGAAGAAAACAACAGTTTAACCAAGAGAAGGTAAACTTGTGATTCGCTTTCTCAATCATAAGCTTCGAAGTCTCTGTCAGGCATTTAGATTATTAATATCAAATCATATTATATTGAGATTGGAAGTTCAACAACATGCACAATCTTACTCTCTTTGGACAAACAATCGTAGATCAATAGCAAATAAGAGAAATGGAGAGGAGAAGGACATTAAAATTTTGAACAAGCTCTATTCTGACAAACTTTCAAACCAAAACCCGTAAGAATCTTGTACCTAATCTTCCCAACAATCATGTACGACTTTAAAGATAAAAATTTATCCCTTCCTCTTTTCCTCCCAAACCAATTCGAAGGTTCCTTACGAGTTTTGTGTTGTAACAGTTTAAGCCCACCACTAGCAGATATTATCTTCTTTGGACTTTGCCTCAAAGTTTTAAATCGCGTCCACTACGGAGAGGTCTTCACACCCTATAAGGAATGCTTCGTTCCTCTCTCCAACCGATGTGGGATCTCACCATCCACCCCCTTAGGGACTCAACATCTTCGCTGACACACTGTCTTAGTGTCTGACTCTAATACCATTTGTAACAGCTTAAGTCCACCCCTCAAGATTTTAAAATGGGAGAGGTTTCCACATCTTTATAAAAAATGTTTTGTTCTTCTCTCTAATTGATGTGGATCGACCTAAAAAAAAAAAAAAAAAAAAAAAACACATTAATGAGCTAATATTTCAATATGTTGAGTTCTACATAGTTTGGCATAATAGAACTAGATGCCTTGTCATGAAGGACTTACCAATGCATGTTGACTTGCCCACATCACTTTTGATAATTCAGTTAGGAATTTATTGCTGATGAGGCTGTAAAGCTAAGAACTCATTTAATTACCATTTAATTTTTTTAGAAAAAAGCAAGTTTTGAAAATTAATGGTTGTTTTGTTTTTATCTACTTCTCAACCAAAGACTAAGTCTCTTTCGAAATTCAAATTCAAATTCAAATTCAAATTCAAATATTTCAAATATTTTAAATTTGGTTTAGGGTTTAAAAGGTTTAAAAGGTTTAAAAGGTTTAAAAGATTTGAAATTTTGGAAGGGGAAAATTAGAGATAAAATTTATAAGATTAGCATTCAAAATTTAGTTGAGAGCCAAATGGAATTAGAAAGCGTAGGGACAAAGTAGTAATAAAGTCAAATTAGGCAATACAAATAATTAAAACCACCCTCCAAATTATACAGAACAAAAGTCACGTACTGACGTACTGTTATTAATACCCCGTTTTGGACCGACGCCTTGCCTTTTTTCTTCAACCTTGTCCAACTTTTCGTCAACGTGGCTGGTCCCCGACGACTCCTCTGTCACCGCCGCCAAAGCTCTACTTGACACCGCCGTTAATGGGTCCCCTCTCCGTTTTGTCAACGCCGGCTGCCTGCTTCAGAACGCCACCGCCCCCATCAATACATGGAGAAGAAATAGTTATTTGGGTAACGTAAAAGACATATTACTTCATAAGCTCCTTTTCCCAGCCTGCCCACATGACATCTCATCTTTCGCATTCAACAAAAAGAATGAATCATTTTATTAATATTTAATAAATAAAAGTTATACCTAATGAACCAAAGCTAATAATATCGGCTAATGGTGGACTTTGGCTGTCACAAATGGTATTAGAGCCAGACATCGGGCGATGTGCCAGTGAAGACGTTGATCTCTAGGAACTGGATTATGAGATCCTACATCGGTTGGAGAGGAGAAGAGAACAAAATATTTATTATAAAGACATAAAGACCTCCCTAATAGACACATTTTAAAACGGTGAGTTGACTGCGATTAATGTACTAAAATAGATAATATCTACTAACAATGTCATTTCTCTATTACAACAATCACCTCACTTTCAAGTGGAAAGTTGTACTTATATTAAATGCACAGAGTTGTAGGAGAGTGCTATAAGTGTGTATCAAAAGAAAAATCCGTATGAACACTGTATAATTTACGAGATGAATAATAAAAAAAAGGGGTTATTCATGGGGAGGTGTGGCTATGCTAGTACCAGAAAATGGCCAAAACTAGTTACAGGATTAAGTTTTTATGTGGTGCAAAGAAAATTGGGGCGTGCTTGGCAGTGCTCTTGGGCTTGTTCTTGCGTTCAACCTGTGGGATTATGATTCTTATTGGCTGATCATGAACATTGATTTCAAACGTTGATTTTTCTTCAGGAATAACAATGGCGGAATCGTCTTCAAGATCCAGAGAGTACAACACATCGTCTCTGCTCCAACCCCCACTCAATAAAATCTCGCACACTGATGATACTCTGAGTTTCTCGAATGTTGTCCTGTTTTGTTCTGAGCTCCGATCATGGCTGTTCATCATCATCATATCTTTAACTTCTTCTTCCCTCCATCCGCCTTCCCGCAACCTCCAAAACACGTCTTCCAAGCATCCATCCAACCCCATTTCGAATTCTCCTTCATTCCACCACCCTTCCGTTATTTCACGCGCCGCCGCTTTCTTTCCTGAAGCGACTTCAGTCCAGAACTCCACCGCCCGAGTCTCCTTCGCGGCCCAAGCCGGCGATTCGATCACCGATCGGTGAAGTTCAGAAACACTGAGATGAGAATACTTATGGGTTTGAAAGAATCCAGGCAAATCAGAGCTCAAAACACGAATCTCCCCACCGTCGACGTGAAATACAGGGTTTCCGGCCATGTTGGGGGCGGAAGGGATGTAACAGTTTCTATATATGGGGACAAGAACAGGGACTCTGTCCAGGAATTGGTTGGCCATAGCAACGGCAGTGTCGGGATCATTAGGCCGGGTCCCCCAAGATTGGCACCAGAATTTTCTTTGGGAAATTTCCTTGAGAAGACAGAATTTGGGGAGATTGATGAGAATGTGAAGCTGTTGAATGGAGGAGGATCGCCAATTGGGAAACCCAGAGCCAACAGGGAGCCCCTCTTGGAGAATTGACCGGAGGTCCGGCGGGAAATTGAATTGGAAAGTGGACTCGACGGAGTTGAATTCAAAGTCCGACAGGCCCGGGAGGACGGGAATTTGGAGGGATTTGAGATGGTCGATAACGGTTTTGGCATAGGCGGCGAAGGAGAAACAGGCGAGTTTAGGGCGGGGAGGCTTGAGGGCGGCAGTGGCGGTGGTGGTGGCAGTGATGGCGGCCATTAGAGAGGGTTGGGTTAATGTAGAGATTGGAGGAGAGACATGGAGTTTGCCTAACAGATTAGAGCGAGAAAAGCTATGACTTTGTGAGAGATGACGAGAGAGTCAGAGGCTAACTTGTCTAAGCCAAGAACATATGAGGGGTTTTCCTGACCTGTCATGATCTCAGGTGTTCTTCTTTTTACCATTTTTATTTGGCTCTTTCTATATTTTGCAGCTCTCCCCTGACTTGCATTTGTCTTTGGACACGTTGACCACATCTCTGATGGGTAAAACACTTGGTACATTTTATTAAGACAATAGATTTTACTGCTTCCGATTTCTTGAGATGAAAAATTAGGTAGGATGGAAACTACTCGTTTCTATTGCTTCCGATTTCTTAAGATTAAAATTAGATAGGGTGGAGGGCATTTATAGTGTACCCTAACCAATCTAGACGTATAAAAGATGAAGATCTCTCTTAGAATCTCTACTAATATAAATATACAATGGCTCGTGTTCAATGATATTTTAACATTTCATTTTTTCGTAATATGAGATTTAAAAGTTTCATGTGATGAATAAAAATTTGATCTTTCAACATTCAACATGGGTAAGATGCACTATGAAAAACATTTGATATTTTTGTATTTTACCAAATGGGTATACATAAAAATTTGATTTTTCAAAATGGGTATCTATTTTTTCTAATTAAGACCTTGTTTGGTTTTGGTGCCATCCAAATCAAACAAAGTTTCTACTCGTCATCATTGAGTCGGTAGACTTTAAATGATAAAGATTCAAACTTGGTTCAAGTCTAAGCCTTACACATTGTTTGAGTCTAGATCAAGTCATCTCAAATTTAAATAGTCAAATTTATGACACAACATTTAAATTTGACTCTCTGATTCAAAGTTAAGCATGTTTTGTTTGAAACAATTCTATGATATCTTGGAAAGAACAAAACAATCTTAAAGGACTCGTGGTTGTTTAGTTATTGGGTGAGCATGATTGATCAATGTCATTTTTCATATTCAATCCAATCAATAAATGAGTTGGATCGAGCCGATCAAAATTTAACTTGGAATCGAACACCTTTACTGACCTTTAGGTTTTCGACTTGTTGATGATGTTGAGTATCTTCGAAGTGAATTTCATTTTCAAGAGGAGAAAGACTTTAGAGTAGGACAAAATGAGGGGTTGATTCCTAAACATTTCATGTACCATTAATTAAGGCTATAATTATTTTTAATCCATAGGAATTTCCTTCATTCAGGAATTTAATTAAATTATCCATCGTCATCTTCGATGATTAATAATTGATTAAAGATTCTTCCGCCGTACCCGGATCACAGACACAAGAACTTGCCAACTTTTTCCAGAATTTATGAACTCATGAAAATGACCAATTATTGATGACATCATACTCACATGCAGTGCCAGATAACAACTCCTCATACCGTGTTATCATATTCACAGGCAGTTTCATTTGGGAATTGCTTGTTCTTGAAGGAAGAACGAACAACATTTCATCATTTAGAACTTGCTTTCCACATCAGGAAGAGCCATTTTGTGTTTCAAGCTCCGCCTTGTTGTTCCTCGACTGCTAACATTTCCATTGGTGTAGATTGTTGTTCATCGCCAATCTCCATGATCCCATTGTTTTTAGTGATGCTACCTGAAATGCCTTCATTTTTGTTGTCTTTATCATCCACCTTATTCAAGCTTTCTTTTTCAAGAACATTTGGTTTTGTTCTTCCCATTCTTGGCTTTCGTATCCGAGTCCGAGTTTGCAATGAATGTTGTGAACAAACTGGGGCTACTGCTCGTTTCGACCTCCTCCGCTTCACCATAATGGCACCATTTCCAACTCCCACGGCAGCCTCATCCGTAGCTGCTGCTGACCTGAAAGATGAAATTTCAGCTTCAAGTTTGATCAATCTGCCCTTACACTCGGCTAATTCCTCTCGCAGCTGCCCAATCATATTCCACATTTGAACATTTTCTGTAGACTGCATCAAATAGGGAAAAAACCATTACGATAATATTTAAAAAACTATAACACCCCAACTTTACCGCTAACATGTTCTGTTTTAGCCCGTATCACCGTCAGCTTCACGATTTTAAAACGCATCTGTTAAGGAGATATTTTCACAAGAAATGTTTTGTATCCCTCTCCAACCCATGTGGGATCTCACAATCCACCCTCCTTGGGGCCAGCGTCTTCGTTGTCACACGCTTGTTGTCTGGCTTTGATGCCATTTGTAACAGCCCAAGTCCACTGCTGAATATTGTTTATTTTAGCCCGCTACGTATTGCTGAATATTGTTTATTTTAGCCCGCTACGTATCACTTTCTGCTAAGGAGAGGTATCCACGTTCTTATAAGGAATGTTTCAACTGAGGAGGAATGTCACAAAAAGGTTGTGTAAAATAAACTGAAGAGAAAACTCAAGCCAAACCTGTGCTTCCCAGAGTCTTTGATGAGTCTTAGAAAGCTTTTCAAGGGGCTCGATGACTCCTCTTGAAAGGGGTTGTACAGAGGAAGATGTAATACAATTAGAAGCTGGCATAGACCAAAATTTAGAAGAGACAAAACCATATGATGCTCTTGAACAATTGGACATCCCAGGAAACAGTAATGGTTGTGTTTGAGCTCCCCATGTTGAGGCATCTCAGGAACCTGTTAAGTTCAGACTGAAACTGTCACTACTACCACATTCAATCCAGGATTTGAAGAACACCCATTAATTGATTAAATAATCTCCACAGAATTGCACCACCAAAGCAAGAGATTTGAAAGTGAAACTCACCTGGAAAGCCAGGGTATGTTGGATATCCAACAGGGTAACATTGAGGTTGGGCAATGCTCGGGTGCGGCTGTACCCAAAAGGGTTGCAAGGAGAATACAACTTGCTGCTGCTGTGTCAACGGGGTCTGAAGATTGGCAAGGTTTTGCGGTGGCTGAAGCCGGTCATTCACGGCGGAAGAAACGGCTAACGGTGAAGATCTTTCCCTTGCATGTTGCTGGTAGAGTGCCCTTGGAACAAGCGTAGTGTAGCGCTGATTTTGCGGAGCCGCATTCTCCAAAGAGTGGCACCCAGATTTGGCGCTTTTTGCTTCATCTGTCCCATCAGATACGCTTTTCTCATTCCGACTCTGTTAACAACAGTGGCATTTTCAATTACCATCAAATCAAACTCAAAAGACCCAGAAAAAATGGCGAAACCCCACAAACAAAAACCATTCTCATCTCGTTTCAAGAGAGGATCGGCTAATGGAAAACAATCAATCAATCAATCAAAAGGAGATAGGGGAAATGCAGAAACGAAGCGAAAAGACAAAACCCATTTGAAAACAATGAAAAAACGTACCAAACTCCATGGGAGTCGAGTTCAAGATTGGGGAAAGAAGCAAACTTGGGTTCTTCTTCCTTTTCCATCGCATTGAAAAAGAAAACAGCTAATGGAAGTTCAGAGTCTAAAAAGTAAAACAACTAATTAAGCCTTCCCTCACTTAAACTGAATTAAAAATGAATATGCGAAGGACTGGAAGAGGAGAGGGAAGGATTTAAAGTTAGAGGCAAATAGAAAGAAGATCGTCATGGGAATATGCTTTTAATCGTTGCACCCAATACCGTACCACTTTATGATTAGATTAATGCAAGTTTAATCTGCCCTAATTTTAATCCAATGAATTAAATAAAGAGTGGGCGCTAATGACTTAAAACTCGACATCAAGTCATGAAATGAAAGAAACCAAGTTTTTTAATAGAGTTATTCATACAGCACTGCTAATTAAGGGATACCATACCATAAAAGCAACATGACCGATGATCTGCATCACTCAAGCGGACACATTACCAAAATATTAACATCAACTGCAAACTGAAGCACATGGCTATTACAACATATAGCAACAACACCGCAGATCATAGAAAGTAAAGGGAAACATGCAACTCGTTTTCAAACTTAATAGTCTTCTCCCTCGTCATCTTCATCATCACCAGCCTCTGCACCAACTTCCTCATAGTCCTTCTCCAAGGCAGCAAGGTCCTCCCTCGCCTCAGAGAACTCACCTTCTTCCATACCCTCACCCACATACCAGTGCACGAAAGCTCTCTTTGCATACATCAGATCAAATTTGTGGTCAATGCGAGAGAACACCTCTGCCACACTAGTGGAGTTTGAGATCATGCATACAGCTCTCTGAACCTTAGCCAGATCCCCGCCTGGTACGGCAGTTGGTGGCTGGTAGTTGATACCACACTTGAATCCTGTTGGGCACCAGTCAACAAATTGGATGGTTCGTTTGGTCTTTATAGTAGCCACCGCAGCGTTCACATCCTTTGGAACCACATCTCCTCTGTACATCAGACAGCAGGCCATGTATTTTCCATGGCGGGGGTCACACTTGGCCATCATGGATGAGGGCTCGAATGCACTGTTGGTGATCTCCGCAACTGAGAGTTGCTCATGATAGGCCTTCTCGGCTGAAATCACAGGGGCATAAGATGAAAGCATGAAGTGAATCCTAGGGTATGGGACCAGATTTGTCTGGAATTCAGTAACGTCCACATTCAGTGCACCGTCAAACCTCAGAGACGCAGTCAAAGATGATATCACCTGGAATTTCAACATAATGTGAGTATTTAGGCCTTCAAATTCCATGATTTAGACAATGAAAAAAAAAATGCTTTTACCTGAGAAATCAAGCGATTAAGGTTCTGGTAGGTGGGGCGATCAATGTCAAGGGAGCGCCTACATATATCATAGATGGCCTCGTTATCAAGGAGCACAGCAACATCAGTGTGCTCCAAAAGCGAATGGGTTGAAAGGACACTGTTGTAAGGCTCGACAACAGATGTCGACACCTGCGGTGAGGGGTAAACAGTAAATCCAAGCTTGGATTTCTTTCCATAGTCCACGGAAAGACGTTCCAACAGAAGGGATCCAAGACCAGAACCCGTTCCTCCACCCACAGCATTGAAAACGAGGAAACCTTGAAGACCAGTGCAATTGTCCGCAAGCTTTCTGATACGATCCAAGCAGAGATCAACAATCTCTTTACCGACTGTAGAACAAATGGAGAAACACGTTAAACCACAGAATGGTTAGCGGGGAGTAATTTATAACTGTAATGAGGAAAAGAAGAATTACTGGTATAGTGGCCACGAGCAAAGTTGTTAGCAGCGTCTTCCTTGCCACTGATAAGCTGTTCAGGGTGGAAGAGTTGGCGGTATGTCCCAGTCCTGACTTCATCAATGACAGTTGGCTCAAGATCTACAAAGACAGCGCGAGGTACATGCTTCCCAGCACCAGTCTCACTGAAGAAGGTGTTGAAGGCGTCATCACCCCCACCAACGGTCTTGTCACTTGGCATCTGTCCATCGGGCTGAAGGGAGACAGGTGAAAGACATCAGATTTCAGTTGTTAACAGTTGCAAAGTACATTCAGTGATTAACTGAAGAGCCATTCCAGATCCCTCGTTAAGTTAATTCCAAAACTTCTTCCTCAATGGCAGGCTCACTTAAACAGAGCCCATGAGGTGAAAGAAAAAAAACCTTCAGAAAATAGAAGTCGATGGAAACACGCATACCCAGAACAGGACTGGTACCCTTTAGAAACAGATTGATCGAAGAACACCTCAAACTAATTCATAAGCCAATTCAAATAGGGCAGTTAAAACTTTATTGTTACGAATATATCCAAAAGACTCTAAAAACCCGGATATATTCGGATATAAAACAAAGCACACCACAGAGCATAAATATGCGACGATCTAGACAGATGTTCGAAGTGGGGTTCCAAGAAGTAGCAATTGAAGTGTAATGTAGTCGATCTACTTAATGCCAAGGCCCGTTGATGTATTCTCAAGTAAAAACACCGTTACACCAATTAGGAGACAAAAGAACACGAGATCTGGGAAATGCCGATAAACTCACACATCAAAACTCTAGATCTCACCATTTACATACAGATAACGCCAAGCATTTCTAGACAGCCACTCAAATCAAAAACAAGGAAGAGATCAAAACCTGAATGCCATGCTCCAAGCAGTAAAGTTCCCAGCAGGCATTGCCGACCTGAATACCGGCCTGACCAATGTGGACGGAAATGCACTCTCTCATTGTGGCTTGGAAATGGAGAAGAAAAGTGAAACAGAGAATAGAAGACGAGGAAGAAAACGAAGAGAAACAGAGTAGCGTTTATGAAGACGCTTCTCCAAGGGAGCGGAAATGTGAATAGGAGGCGCGTTGTTGGGGGCGTTTTATAGAAAGGGAAGAATGGCAGGTGGGAAGTGGCGAGTGGCGGTAGGACTGGGATTGAGGCACGTGGGAGTTTCAACCCTGGTTAGTTTACCGTGGTTAATAAATAAAATGGTTAAAGAGTGCCAGCTCAGCTGTTCAGTACAGGGGTTCGACCTTTATATCTCAACATTAACCGCACGCCGTAGCTTTGTCGTTGGTGCCTGACGTTCAAATTTCAAATCGATTTGAACCGCTGGGTTCGGTTGGTATTGTAATGTGGGGCCGCCCAGACGCGATATTATTTTATTACACATTATAATAATTGTATGACTAAATTAAATATTTGTCTGGATTTGCCAAGCTAATCTCAGCCGTTAATCCAAAACTCATAAATTCTAATGTTCCCACCTATCCATATTGTTAGAAGTAATATATATATATATATTTATTTAGATTTCCCTCCATAATTAAATGTAATAAAAATACATTTTTTTTTTAATGGATAAACAACATGCCGGTTGTTGTATGGGGTCGGACGCAAGTCAAAAATGAAAGGGATGCAACCCTTAAACTAGACAGAAAGACCAAATTTAATTGAACCAAGAATTCGGACATATATGTGGTTGAAATGTCTCGACGCTCCACATTTGTGTATAAGATTATGCGTTTGATAAATATGATATTTAAATTAATGCTGACACTAAAATGACATCAAACTAAATAGAAGTATTACTTTGTATTTTAATAATATATAGATATTTACTTAATCAGGCATAAAAGATGATCTTGTTCAACACATGATACTTATTTTAACAGAAAATAATCTCGTTTAAAGCCAGTTGATTCATGTTACTATGTTGGTGAATGAAGACGTGACACCGAATTTGTATTAAATTTATTGAATGGCCCATTGCAATCACTCCCCGACATTATTTGAAAATAAATTCAAAGAACAAATAAGTATTTTTTTTTTAAATATATATAAAGTCGGACATCTTTATCATTAGGCTTAATGTCTCTCAATAATTATAAATTAAAGCCTAGTTTTTTTTTTTTCCAGCCCATCATTTATAGAAAATAAAAACCTATGAATTAGATTTTCAGTATTAAGTATTTTAGGACAAAAAAAATAAATAAATTACAGCTGCAACCACAGATGCAAAAAAATTGGTTCTTCTGACAATCTAAGGCTTTGTTCCATTTCCAACTTATTCTCTCTACAAAATAAAAGCTTAGAGCTTAGAGATAGAAAGAGAAAAAGAAACAGATTCTGAAATTTTATGCAATCGATCTTGGGTTGGATCACAATCAATCCACGCAAATTAAAGCATTTGTGTTCTGGGATTGATCCTCCCTCCCAAAAAAAATTATTAAATTCCAAAAACCCAACAAAAATAAATAAAGTTCCAAGAAATTAAATGACCCAAGAAGGAAAAAATACAACCCCTTTCTTCTTCCAGTTCTTGCTGTTTCTGCCTGGCTTCGTCCTGTCTGCCATGCCCGAGATGGATCTCAAGATCTTCACATTTCTCTCAACCCCTTTTGATTTTGCAGAAATGGGCTCCATCTATCTAAAAATTACACAACAACATGAGGGGGGATTGAGACACAAACATACATACATACATACATAGATCATTAGAACAAAAAAGAACCTGGTTTATATAGACGGAGGAGAAAGGCATGGAAGTCGCTCCATATGCCCGGTGACGGCCGCTTCTCGATTCTACCATTTTTTCTCTTCAACGCAACGCGCTTTATCGATCAAATCAAATCGATTTTGAGTATAAGATATTGATGAGAGATGCCATGGAATTCACATGCAATTTATAAGGCTATGTTCCTCGCCTCAGTTTGGGAAAAAAAGCATGGGTTTTTGTCTTTTGGGGGTTCATTCCAAATAAGCCAGCCAGCTCAAATGCACACACTCGAATAATATATACACACACATATATATATAGAGAGAGAGAGAATAAGTGGGTTTAAGAAAAAACGAATTACCCTTCTAGAAACACACCACCATCTCGCCTGGGAACAACCGCACTTTATTTATTTATTACGATGGAAAGTTATCTCTGTTTAAAGAGGTGATTATGATTTATAATTTGTTAGAGCAACAACCTTATTTAATGATTGCATTTTGAATTTAAAGCTTTCTTCAAATTAATGTATGTATTGCTAATTAAATAACTAATAGAAGCTACTTAACTTGGTCAAGTCTACGAATTCATTTAAATATTTATAATATTACAATGTGGGATGGTTGGGAATAATTTGTAACCTATTTATTATGTCATATATAATATTTAAGAATTCCAATCTATTCCTAATTATATATTTAGTACGTCACTATACTAAAATAATTCATGTTGTAACCTATTTATTATGTCATATATAATATATATGGTTTTTCTTTCTTTCTTTCTTTTTCTAATAACCATATTAAAAATTTAAGATAAAAACTCATTTCACTATGGACCGGATGTAAAATTATCTGGGCTTACTGACCGAGCCGGCCCATCAAACAAAATTATTCGGCCCATAAATTGGATTCGTTGGCCCATGGAAAACAACCTAGAGATCCACATTGAAGTTGGACTTAGGACGATGATTTGACCCAGCTCTGGTTTTGTCAAGGGCCCGTTATTGGGGTCCAGAAACTGGGAACTTGACACGTGTTTGAAATTTGGGTAAGATAAGATTGGGCATGGCCTTGCTTCACGTTTCCCAACCATTTGTTTATTTTGGTACTCCATAATTTAAGCCGCCAAGTATTTGCCTCTTCGCAACATCAAATCTCGAAAGGTTTCTGATTCTAAGACGGTGGGTTTGTTTTCTGATTCGGGAATTAATTATGAAGCCGATTCCGGATGTCAACGAACGCATTGCTCGAATCTCTGCGCATCTTCAACCTCCCAAGTCTCAGGTTCTAATTATGCCTTGTTGATTTCACCGATTTTTATGAAGTTTTTTCGAGTCATTGTGAAATTGGAAGCACTGGGATATAATTCAACAACCCACCTGGGATTTTGATGTGGATCAAGTGATCGTACTTGCTCGTTATGGTCGGTTAATTTGGTTTTTATCGCTTATTTGTTTTGATTTTGATTGTGTTCGGATAGATGGAGGAAGGTTCTGTTTTGAGGAGGGCGAATTGCCGGGCGAAAGGCGGAGCTCCCGGGTTTAGAGTCGCAATACTTGGGGCCGCCGGTGGCATTGGCCAGCCCCTTGCCATGCTGATGAAGATGAATCCTCTGGTCTCTGTTCTACATCTGTATGATGTCGTCAATGCCCCTGGCGTCACCGCTGATATCAGTCACATGGACACTGGTGCTGTGGTGCGTTTTTTTTTTTTTTTTTTACCTGTACAATTTGGAATTAGAACGTACTATGGGATATGAACTTTTAAGAGATTTCAGTTACTGTGAAGAAACTGTGGTTCTTTCTCATTTGAAATAGGAAATTTGTTTCTATGATTCGTTTTGGTCGAGTGGCTTTGCAAGTTTTGAGTTCTTGAAGTGAAATAGATAGCATATTGAGAATATTTCTGAAAATTTAGGTGCGTGGATTCTTGGGGCAGCAGCAGCTGGAGGCTGCGCTTACTGGCATGGATCTTGTTATAATCCCTGCAGGAGTTCCCCGAAAACCAGGAATGACAAGAGATGATCTGTTCAAAATTAATGCTGGAATTGTCAAGACTCTCTGTGAAGGGATTGCGAAGTGTTGTCCAAGAGCCATTGTCAACCTGATCAGTAATCCTGTGAACTCCACCGTGCCCATTGCAGCTGAAGTTTTCAAGAAGGCTGGAACTTATGATCCAAAGCGACTTCTGGGAGTTACGATGCTCGATGTTGTCAGAGCCAATACCTTTGTGGTATGTAATAATAGTCGACTAATCTCGTTTCTATTTTTTTAAGTTCATGCTGTAATTTTGGAGCATAGATAAGCATGAAACTTAAAATTCAATGTAGCTGTTGCAACCATTTCGTCAATTAATTAACTGTTTAAATAGAATTTAGATGTCATTACTTTTGGCTTTCTTGTTGCTACTTTAAGAAATCTATTCAACAGTATTGGGATATGTGAGATCCTACATCGGTTGTGGAGGAGAACAGAGCATTCTTTATAATGGGTGTGGAATCCTCTTTTTAGCAAATGCATTTTAAAACCTTGAGGGGAAAGCCCAGAGAGGCCAATATCTACCAGTGGTAGGCTTGAGATGTTACAGAATCAGTGTTTTATCTCAATAACCTATGTCATGCCTTCTTGTTATTTTGTCTTTGTCAGGCAGAAGTATTGGGTCTTGATCCTCGGGATGTCGATGTTCCAGTCGTTGGTGGTCATGCTGGTGTAACCATTTTGCCCCTTCTATCTCAGGTTTGCGAGGGTTTCTGATTTGGTTTGAACTCATAATGTTCTTGATCTGCATACTAAGTTTTCATTTAGTTGTTCGTGCCTCTGTGTATAGGTCAAGCCTCCAAGCTCATTCACACAAGAAGAGATCAACTACCTGACTGATAGGATCCAAAATGGGGGAACAGAAGTTGTCGAGGTACTTAATATCTACTACAACTATGCATTTTATTAAACAACCCTAATAGCAAAATGGAGAAGTACCAGTGCATGTGCTTGTTTGTGTACCGACACATTAATTATCAATAAACAACATTAAACGGTTAGATGCATTTATAAATGGCAGGGAAATAATGAACTGAGTATATTATATAGGTTTGGATGAAGCATCTGCTTCATCATGTAGAATCAGACTTGTATTCTCCCATTAATGGTTAGATCCTGCTACATGAAGCACATATATGTATTTCTCACCACTCCAAGTTAATTTGTTCTTTGTTTCCTGAAGTTTTATGAGATATCATTTGATGAAGGAAGAATAATTATTTATCATCTGTGAAGTTCGAATATGCTGATAGTTAGTTGGATGGGGCACAAATTAGATTGATCTTCATAAACTGCAATTTGACAATACTTGTTTGCAAATGCCCGAACCTCTTTCGAGATTTTTACGTTCATTGAATCTATCCTGCTGTATTCTTATCAACACTAAAACATCTTATTAGACCAATCTTGACATTGTCTGCAGGCTAAAGCAGGAGCTGGTTCAGCAACTCTCTCAATGGTCAGTTGCTTATTAGATCAATCTCGTCATCGTCTACTGGACTATATTTTTAGGCTACCATGAATCTAAAAAATAGAGAAACTAAGACATGTTGTTTTGACTAGTTCATGGTTAAAATGTGCAGGCTTATGCTGCTGTTAAGTTTGCAGATGCTTGTCTTAGGGGCTTAAGAGGAGATGCTGGTGTTGTCGAATGTGCGTTTGTGTCTTCTCAGGTATGCATTTTTTGTTGAAGTTATCGCTATTTTCCTTTCTTTAATAGTTTGGATAATATTCATCTTATATGATTGTTTGTTGGTATAGGTGACCGAACTTCCATTCTTTGCAACCAAAGTACGACTCGGTCGCACTGGTGTCGAAGAAGTATACTCCCTTGGCCCACTAAACGAATACGAGAGGTATGTGATAGCCAGTTATGAAAATTTAACATAAGAATCAAATTTCAGTACTCATTGTGGATCATTGAGTTTGAATGAGTTGGGATATTGATTGACAGGATTGGGTTGGAGAAAGCGAAGAAAGAGTTGGCAGGAAGCATTGAGAAGGGAGTTTCCTTCATCAGGAGCTGAAGAGTTGCCAATCACCATAGTTTAAATAGAAATACTTCGTCTCTTATAGATCGAGTACGTACTTATACTGTATGCTTTCTTAGAGATTGAAGTTGATTGAAATGAAACCACACCACCAAGTATTTAATAAAACAATCTGCAGGTGATATCGCCTCCATGTCGACAACCAAAACAGTTGGGTTAGAATGTCGTCTATGAGATTGATGGGTTGTCTTTAATATATCATTTTGGTACTTAGAATTCGAGTTTGGTATCCGATTCAAAGAATATGATAGAAGATAGAACATGATTGCGTATAATGAGACTGTTGATTTTTGTAAAGGAAATGAATGATGAGGGGAGTTGAAATTATTCGGTAAGTGGAAGGAGACTGCTTGATGTTTGCAATAATGCCATTCCCATGACTTAGACCTAATAACCAAGCTGACCATTCTAGAACATAAATGCTTATCCTTTTTAGTTCACTTTTCCTTTGGAAATCAACGTTAGAAGATAAAAGGTGTGCTTGAGTAACGCACAATTTAGTGGCTTCGATCTTCATCTCATATGATGCTTGTTGGCCCATTTAGTGGAATACTAATAATGCTTCCACTAGCATATTATTTTTTATTTTTCTTTTTCTCATATCTCGATATTCGACACTCAATCATCCCGATATTTTTATACATTCTCATGTTTTGTTTTCACTTACATGTTTCTTAAGAAATTTTTTAAGTATTTGTTCAACATATAATCACTCTAATTAAAGCATGCTTTTAACTTTGGAGTGGTTAGGATCTTATGAAAGGGATAAGAAAACTCAAATTCATTCAAATTCATGAGTGTTTTTTAGTACAAGTACAGAAGGTGAACAATACTGAAAAAGCAGTGTGTTTATGTAGTGGGAGATGGTACCACTAGCAGTACATCGCACAGTAGGAGGATGCCATAGCCCGTCCCATCCCAACAAAAACCCCAAAAAGCAGACACACACCGGCAGACACATGCTTCAAGAGACAAGGCTGCCTCTGAATGCATAATGCTTGCTTTTTGTTCTAGCACAGGAAACTCTAAAACAGTAACTTCTCGTGTTCAACTGAACACTATGATCGTGATTCAGCTATCTCTACCTCGTTTAAGAATCATTGTTGCTGATGCTCCGATAAGATTCGCACGACTTCCTGCATCGTGGGGCGCTTTGCTGCTTCTTCTTCAGTGCAGAGCATGGCGACATTGAGAACGTGCATCACCTCGTCGAGGGGGACACAAGAGAGTCTTTGATCAACCATTTTATGTATTCCTTCCTCTTCTGAGTTCGTCATTTTTCTAACCCATTCGACTATGTCCACACCGTCACTTAATTCACCAACTGGATTCCTATCGCTAACAAGTTCGAAGAGGACGACGCCAAAGCTATATACATCCCACTTCTCGTCGACATGTTCTGCAAGAAAAGAATATCATCCCATTTATCACATTCATCAGGTCTGCTACAACATCATTTATCAACCAGCAATCACTTGTTGATTGATTGTGTATAGACTAATTGTAACCATCTAAACCCACCACTAGCAAATATTGTCATCTTTGGACTTTCCCTTTTGGGTTTCTCCTCAAGATTTTTACAACGCGTCTTCTTGAGAGGGGTTTTCACATCCTTATAAAGAATGTTTCGCTCCCCTCTCCAACTAATGTGGGATCTCACAATCCACCCTCCTTGAGGGTCAAGCATCCTCGCTGGCACGCCATCTGGTATCTTGCTCTGATACCATTTGTAACCGTTCAAGTATACCGCTAGCAAATATTGTCTTCTTTGGACTTTCTCCTATGAGCTTTCTCTCGAGATTTTAAAACGTGTCTATCTTAAAAGCTCAGTTTTCAAAATATAAGCTGTATAGACATTATTCAGCAGATATCACTGTATTGAAAGATAAGACAAGCTCTTCAAGTGATTCAACAGATACCTGAATTTTTGTAAGCTCAAACTTATTGTCATACCTGGTGCAAGAGCTGATCGATCCAATGCGCCCGAATCTTGTAAGAACTTCGCGAGCCCAGAATTGGCAAGCTGAGGATCAAAATTGGTGTCCAGCATAATGTTGTTCGATTTCACATCTCGATGAACGATCGGCGGTGAGCAATGGTGGTGAAGGTAGCAGAGTCCATTCGCAATTCCAATGGCTATCTTGTACCTTGTATCCCAAAGCAAGTGGCCTCCTTTCTTGCCATGAAGAACCTCATAGAGGTTCCCATTAGGCATGTACTCATATACCAAAAGACCAGTGTCATGGTTTGAACAAAAACCCAATAATCTAACAACGTGACGGTGTCGAATCCTCCCAAGAGCTTGTATCTCGGTATCGAACCCGTCGTCATTAGAACACCCATCGCTCATCTTTGGAAGTCTCTTCACAGTGACCTGATCACCACTAGGCATCACTCCTTCATATACTGTGCCATAACCTCCTTTTGCAATAGCATTTTCCTTCTTAAGGCAATTCAAGACCTCATCAACCGAGAAACCCAAGCGTTGGAAGGCTGTTAATCTCCATCCTTGAAACTCCCTTGCTCTCCTCAATGACCGAACTTTGAAGATCAAAGCAACAGTCAAGGCAAATAAACAGAAAAAAGATCCAAAAACTAGGAGGAGCCTGAGAGGAGTTGAGAGGGAGAGCTTCATATGTTCTTGATGATTGCAAGGCCCTAAATAGGCTCCACAGAGATAAGGGTTGCCAAGAAATGATGTGTAATTGAAGTAACCAAATTGCCCAGTTCCCAAAACCAAACCAGAGAGATTGTTATATGAAAAATCCACGGAAGTTAAGCTCTGCATATGAACTATGGAAGCAGGAATTGACCCAACCAAATGGTTTCTTGAAAGATTCATGTATGTCAATAATTTCATGTTGGTAATATTATTAGGAATTTCACCTGAAAGCTCATTTCCACTAAGATCAAGGAAGATCAAGTGCTTGCACTCACTTATCTCCGGCACAATTCTACCGGAGAATTTATTCTGGCTGAAATTTATCCGAGATAGTTGCTGTAATCTCCCAATCGTCGAAGGAATCTCACCGGAAAACTTATTCCGATCAAGAAGAAGCTTCTGGACAGCCAGAAGGTTGCCGATGGTGGGCGGCAAAGATCCAGATATCATATTGTTGGATAAACTAATCTGAAGAAGGTTAACAGAGACTGAATCGGTAAGGGGAAGTTCTCCAGAGAGAAAATTGTCGTGCAAATCAATTTGAGTGAGATTTGGCAAACCCAATAGCCCCTTTGGAATTGATCCATTGAGAGCGTTGCCCCACAGAAGTATACGCCTAAGTGATGGACAATTTCCTAACGATTCTGGGATGGAACCATGTAAGGAATTGCCCATAAGGATCAAAACTTCAAGATGATTCCCATGGCAAATTTCAGAAGGAATTGTGCCTGTCAACTGGTTGAAAGCAAGATCGAGAATCAGAAGCATTCTGTTCTTCCCCAAATTCCGAGGAATCGAACCTGTGAAATTATTGTTCCATAATTGCAATATCTCTAAGTTTGGGAGGTCACCCATGAATCCCGGAATCTCACCGGAGAGCTTATTGTCGAAAAGGTGCAATAGTGTCAAGTTCTTGAACTCTGCAAAAGAGATGGGTATTTCACCAACAAGCATATTGCATGATATATCCAATGATTGTATGTTCTTCAATCCTCCTAGGTCTGTTAATGATCCAGACAGAGCATTTTCTTGAAGGAATAGTTTAGTGAGCTTCTGCAACTTTCCGAGCTCCGGCGGGAACTTTCCGGACAAACCACAGCTCGCGGCATCTAACAGAACTAACTCCGATAAGTTTCCTATCGCCGCTGGTATTCCACCGACGAAGGTGTTGTAGTAACCAATGAAGAGTTGTCGAAGGTTCGTCAAGTTTCCGATCGTCGCCGGAATCGGACCTTCAAGGTCGTTGCCATGAATCGCCAGAAACTCCAAGAACTGCAAGCGTCCAATCTCCGGAGGGATTCGACCGGAGAAGAAATTTCCCCCAAGGTGTAAATGGCGAAGATTGGGGATTTCAGTGACCACTCTGGGGAAAACGCCGGTCATGTTGTTGTTATAAACATCGAGAACTTGTAGATTCTTCAGCTGCGAAAACTCGCGAGGAATCGAGCCGTTGAGGAGGTTGCTAGAGAGATTAAGATGGCGGAGAGAAGACATGGAGGCAAACTCCGGGGGGATTCCGCCGGAGAATTTGTTGAGTTGGAAGGAAACATTAGTGAGAAATGGAAGAGAGGCAAGATGAGGAGAAAGGGTGCCGGAAAGGTCGAGAGAAGAGAGGTGGAGGGCGAGGACATGGCCACGGACGTCGCATGTGACGCGAGCCCAGGTACAGGGGGCGACGTCGGCGTTCCAGGAGGATAGAGAAGATCGAGGGTCATCGGAGATGGAGTTTTTGAAGGAGAGAAGGGCCTGTGATTCAGTCAGGGATGCAGAGAAGGCAGGGGAAAAGTAAAGTTGCAGAATTTGCAGCTGCAGAAGGAGAATAATGGCAAAAAATCTCATCTTTTTGCATACAAATTTTGAATGCTTTCTGTTTGTCATTTCTTTTGAATTTTGATTTTAAGATGGAAGGAGGAGGAAGAGGGGGAACTCATCTTCCTTCATAATTTCACTTTATATATATTTATATATTTCTTTTTCCTCTCCATCCTTTGAATTTTTTTTTATTTTTTATAACTTATATAAGATTTCAAGATTTGGGTCCATAATCAATGGCTTATAAACCACGAGACTTTTAGGCTCAAAGTAAACAATATCATAAAGCATGTTCATGGAACAGAGACACTTGGACATATATTTGTTAGCTGTTTTTGTATGAAAAATGGGTTTTGAAAGTTTGGTGGGTTTTAAACTTACATAAATCTTTGTCAATTTCTTGAGCTGAAATGGAAAAAAGAATTGAAAAGAAGACGTATTTGTGGAAGCCCATGTTACGTGGTCCAGTTGAAGTCGAATACCCATCCATAATGGGCTCTCTTCTTTTTGTATTGGGCTTTAGTGTTTCCCTCGTAATATTGGTTTGGGCCAATGTTGGGCCCATCAAATCACTCCCACTTCCGAAGAGCCATTCCATTTAAAGCCTCAAGCTATTGAAACTAATAAATAAGACAGAGAATTAACAATATTGTGTCAGTTGACCAACTATTAAATGCAACGCTCATAACGTGCTACTAAAGGAGATAGCCAAATGGACATTTTTTTTTTCCTATATAGTTAGGTAGAAAAAATTAATGAACATAATAATAATTATTATTATTATTTAAAAAAGAAAAAAGAAAAAAGAAAAAAAAGTAGTAAAGTTTATGACTTTAATTAGAGAGAAAAAAGAAGAGCATAATTAATTAAAGGTCATAATAAATGATGATGCTGTCACTCATCCCTTCATTACCATACACACACACATGCACATATTATAAATCATTGTTTTCATTTGATGCCTTATGATTAACACCATGTGGCCCCCATTTGTTACCATTTCCATCATGCCTTCTCAAAGTAATGTTATTATTCACGTTATAACTTTATGCTTTATTTTAATTCCTATGCCAATGTATTCATGCTTTCAACTTTCTTTCTACTTTCCATTTTTTTCAAAGGTAGGCCATGCACTCCACGCCCACCAAATTTGAAGCATCGATATTATTTCGCACCAATAGTACCCTGCCACGGTCCAAACCCAAATTTAGTTCTCAGCTAGTGTGTTTCACACTCAAGCTATGAAGATTTTGATAGCTTATAGCTAGGTGTGTTTGCGAGAACTTTGGGTTCCAAGGTGAGTGAATTATTATAAAAACACTAGTAATAGTGGTCTAGTGGTAGAATAGTATCTTGTTACAGTATAGATTTGGGTTTGATTCCCGGTTGATGCATTTCAATATTCAAGCTATGAAGATACTGAACCTAAACCTATGCTCGAGAGGTAGATGTCCATATACTGATAAGGTATGTATGGATTCTCGAGAAGAGAGAAGGTGAGGTGGTCCCTCCTAGACCGCCCGAATCCCACGAGTGAATAGAAAGTTGGATTTACATTGGATCTCACCTAAATCGAGACCACATTTTTTAAATTGTGAGATTAAAGGTGATATGTAACGGATTAAATGAGAGTTATTAGAAGTATCTTATTTGATAAATTGATTGAATTTGGTCGGTTTTTAATTCATGAGTCGGACAAAAATGTGGGTTGATATTGTTTCACTTTGAATGTTTGATTAACATTCTGGTTTGATAATTATATGAAAACAACAAATATTTCATTTTCAAGAATGGACAGATTTTGCTGTTTATGTCTTTTACTTTGGGTCCCCTTTTGGTATTTTTGATTGAATGAGTAAGAGGAAATGGAAAAATGTTTTAACTTATATGTAAACTAATACCATCAATTATTATTATTATTATTAGACCTTTCAATGCCCTTACTATTTATTTACCTACTTTATACCACCAACCCAATTCTAACATATTCTAATTTTAATACACACATTTATTAGCTTCGTATTAGGATTTGAAATACGAATGCTGCGATTTAACTTTCTTCTTTGAAGTCCCACGATTGATCCTTCTCCTTTAGGGTTTTGGTCATTTAATGTTTTGGTATTGAAATTATGAGATTGCAACGTGACACCTCCCACCCATGTGAGTTGCTTCGCATTCGACTATTACTCCAATTATTACAAAAACAACTAAATCAATACCCAAAAAAAATAGTGCTTCCATTTGTGGTTGTTTTAGTTTTTGTGAGATCTTGTATCTATGGGCCAAACATTTCTCACATCGATGAGAGAGGAAAACGAAACATTACTTTAAGGATGTAAAAACCTCTCGCTAATAATCGTTTTTGTCGGTGGTTTGTTTTATAGCCAATCAAGTCAGGCTCAACCACACAAACACAAACTCAATACAGGGAAGTGTTTAGTAGTTGAGTAAAAGAAGAAGATGGGTGCGGCAAATGCTTGAACATTGTGTCTAGGAAAAAGCAACAATGTCACACCAAAATATCCCCCAACTGCTCAACTGTACATGAAACAAACTAAAAAACAAACCTTTTGAACATATTACGAGCATAGCATTAAAAGGAAGCCAAATAAAACAACATTGCAGTACCAAGCCCCTGAACCTTACTACTTGCTTCGACTTTTTCTACTTTTAATCACACTACCAACCCCAATTAACTTCTTCTTCAAATGCTAAGAAGATCCGGTGGCGGCTGCTGGTCCTTTTTGTTCGTGGTTCCTGTTGTTGGAGGGTCCAATGCTACTGCCGCTGCTGGTGGTGGTGGTGAGGAGTTTGGGAGTGCTGAGTCTCCTGGTTTTGAACATGGTGGCTGTGGGACCTCCGACAGGATTTGGATCACTTCCCGCATCGTCGGGCGCTCCACCGCCTGTTCTTCGACGCACAGCATTGCAACGTAGAAGACGTGTGACACTTCATGGAGAGGGATGGAGGAGAGCCTTGGATCAAGGATTTTCACTACCTCTTCCTTGTTTGAGTCTGTCATTTTTCTAACCCATTGGACTATGTCAACACCGTCCCCGAATTCTCCAACTGGTTTTCTTCCGCTAACAAGCTCCAAGAGCACAACTCCAAAGCTATACACGTCACTCTTCTCGTCAACTTTCAGCGTGTAAGCGTATTCTGAAAGAAAAAAAGGCCAGAAAAGTGTCCAGAATCAGTCAAAAACATCCAATGCTGATCACCACTAATGTTGTATAGAACATATTTAAGAGTCACAGAAAATTAAATCATTGACAGAACAAGTTCAAGCTTAGAATCATACCTGGAGCAATATATCCATAAGAACCAGCAATGGCAGACATGCACTCAGAAGTGCCGGAATCCTGCAAGAACTTGGCCAGGCCAAAATCAGCAACATGAGCTTCGAAATTAGTGTCAAGAAGTATGTTATTTGATTTCACATCTCGATGAACAATGAGCGGCGAGCAATCATGATGGAGATAGCAAAGCCCTTTGGCAGCTTCAATGGCAATCTTATACCTTGTGTCCCATTGTAAGTGACCTCCTTTTTTCCCATGAAGAACTTCCCCCAAGCTCCCATTAGGCATATACTCATAAATCAAAAGATTTGTCTCATGATTTGAACAAAATCCCAATAGCCTAACAATGTGTCTATGTCGAATCCTCCCAAGAGTTTGTATCTCAGCGTTGAATCCATGGTCGTGGGAAGACCCTCGGCTCATCACCGGCAGTCTTTTGACGGCGACGTGGTCACCACTAGGCATCGCCCCTTTATACACAATTCCAGCACCTCCTTTTCCAATGATGTTGTCCTCTTTCAAGCAATCAAGAACATCATCAACTGTGAAATCTAGGCGTTGGAAGGATGTTAATTTCCAAGCCCGAGACTCACTGGCTCTCTTCAATGATCGAGCTTTGATGATTGCAGCCACTGCAAATGCAATTGAGCAAAGAAGCAGACCAATTACAAGGAGGAGCTTGAGGGAAGCAGAGAAGGGACCTTTTACATGTTGTTGGTAATTGCTATTGGCGACCCCATCTTTGCATGGTCCTAAATATGGGCCGCAGAGATCAGGATTGCCCAGGAACGATGTGTAATTGAAGTAGCTGAATTGCCCACTTCCCGGAACTAAGCCGGAGAGGTTGTTGTATGAGAAATCCACAGAGGTCAAACTCTGCATACTGGCTATGGAAGATGGGATTCCACCGATTAAATGGTTTTTTGAAAGATTTAGGTAATTCAAGATTCTCATACTCGTAATCTCGTTTGGAATTTCACCCGAGAGCTCGTTCCGACTGAGATCGACGAAGGTTAGCAGCTTGCATTGGCTAATCTCCGGTGCGATTGGACCTGAAAACTTGTTGTTACTGAAATCAATCTTTGAAAGTTGCTGTAACCGCCCAATCTCAGGTGGGATTTGACCGGAGAATTTATTTCCGTCGAGGAGCAGTTTCTGGACGCCGGAGAAGTTGCCGATGGTGGGTGGAATCGACCCGGAGAGGCGGTTGTTCGAGAGACTAATCTGGCCCAGATTGAGTGAGATTGAATCGGTTACAGGGAACTCGCCGGAGAGGTAATTGTCCTGTAACTCGACCTGAGAGAGGTCCGGCAGACTGAGAAGCCCCTTTGGGATAGATCCATTAAGAAAATTATCCCCCATACGAATCCGATTAAGCGAAACACATTTGCCTAGCGACTCTGGGATTGGACCAAACAAGAAATTGCTCAATGCGATGAGAGTTTGAAGGCGATTACCGTAGCACATATCGGGAGGAAGATTTCCGGTGAGCTTGTTGGAAGAAAGATCCAAAATCTGAAGCATTCCGTTCTTGCCCAGGTTCTGTGGAATCGCTTCCGTGAAATTATTCTCCCATAACTGCAACACCTCCAGCTTTNGCAAGTCCCCAATAAAGGAAGGAATCGCTCCATGAAGCTTGTTTCTAAACAGATTCAACAGCGTCAAGTTCTTGAGCTCGGAGAACGAGCTGGGAATCTCACCCACAAGCATATTGTTCGACAAATCCAACGATTTCAAGCCATTCAACTCTCCAATCTCCGGCGTCAATGGCCCAGATAGACCATTTACTTGAAGAAACAGCGTATCCAGGTTCTTCAGCTTTCCGAGCTCCGGCGGAATCCGACCAGAGAGTCCACAGTTGGCCGCGTCCAACCGTACCAACTCCGACAAATTCCCAATCTCAGCCGGAATCCCGCCGACGTACGCGTTGAAGTAGCCAATGTAAAGCTCACGAAGATTCGTCAAGTTCCCGATTTCCGGCGGTATGGAACCGCCGAGTTCGTTACCAGAAACCGCAAAGTACTCCAAGGACTCCATCCGACCGACTTCCGGCGGAATCGCTCCGGCGAAGAAATTTCCACCCAAATGCAAATGGCGGAGGGTCATCATTTCAGTAACGACAATGGGGAAATCCCCAGTCATATTGTTGTTATACAAATCAAGAACCTGCAGATTCCGAAGCTGCGAAAGCTGCGTAGGGAACGACCCATCGAAGACATTATTAGACAGGTTAAGGAACCGAAGAGAAGAAATGGAAGAAATCTCCGGCGGGATTGGACCAGAGAAATCATTGGACGCAAGAGAAAGATTAGTTAGAAACCTCAAATAGGCAACATCAGGTGAAAGAGAACCAGAAAGTCCGAGACCAGAGAGGTCAAGGGCAGTGACATGGCGACGAACATCGCAAGTAACCCCAAACCAAGTACAGTGACTGGTGGAAGCATTCCACGAAGAGAGCGAGGATTTGGGGTCACCAGAAATGGAGGTTCTAAGCGAGAGCAGAGCTCGATACTCAGAAACACGAGCTGAACAACAATGGTGAATGTGAAGTTGCAGAAGACAAAGGAGAAGAAGAGGAAGAAGACGCATTTTGGTTGCAGATTCGTTTCTGAATCAGCGATTTCTGCAAATATTAAAGAGTGAGTTTGTACTGGGAGGAAGAGGAAGACGAGCGAGAGAGCTCAGTGAGAAGAACAAGTGGGTTTGGGGCGGGGGGGGGGACCTCGATAAAGTGAATCATGTCGCACATTTTACATTTGATTTTGTTTTTAAAAATTTGAATCTTTTTTGACTTTATAATATAAAGTTTCATATCTTACATTATAACGTATATTTATGTCCTAATATATATATATATATATATAGATATAGGTGTAGGGAAGGCATTAAATACTCCTACGAACAATTATATGTTAATTGATTGAATACACTATTTTTATAATACTAATTCCACAGAATTAAAATAATAATTTCCCATTCTGCATTACAGATTCAACTTTTCTGGGAATTTGTGAACATAGCATAATATTAATTTTTAGTGCAACAATAAACCTAATAAATAAAATTCGAAAAAAAAAATTAATTTATAATAGGGTTAGACGTAGAGTAATGAAGCTACTGATTTTGGCAATAATTGCTTTATTTGGATTGTATCTTCCCAGTGGGTGTGAATTTGGTGGAGTTGTTGATGTCTTTTTTTTTATTATTATTATTATTTTAAAATAAATAAATAATAATAATAATTAGTTCAGAGTTGTTAAGCATTTAAAATACATTTCATTATTAATAGCATTTTCGTTTTAATTTTAATTTCTTGATTAAACAGTGGAGGGTAGAAATGGTAAAATAGTGTAAAAAAAGAGACACAGCTTTTCAACGACTTTTTGCATAACTTTGCTTCTATTTTCTTCTTTCTGCATTGCTCCCTCTCTTCCCACTTTTTATGACCACGATCTACAATAAAGCTGTCTTTTTTAATTCTTTTTTTTTAATTTAAATAATTTAATTAATAGAAATTGAGGTCAGTAAAAATTTGAATTTAACCGAGGGTGGGTTTGAGGTAAAGTAATAATAGCGGTGGATTTGTGTGTGTATAAGGGTTGGTCAAAGTCAAACAAACCCAAGGCACGTTAACAGACACCAGACGGCTTATTGTGGCCCAATCCAATTTCTTTGTCTCCCACTACCCTTCTCTTTTCCTCATTATTACCATCTCCACCCCCTTCCTTACTTAATTACTCTTTTACCCTTCAATTTACCCCTACTCCTCTGAGCCTGATCCTTGCGGCACATCGCAACCCGACAAACTCACTCCATATTGGTCCCCGATCAAAACAATTTTTTTTTTTAATTAAAATGGTGAAATGACGAAGCAGTCCTCCCCTCGACGATTCTTTGTGGGGAGAGTATAAATAATATAACATACCAACCTCAACATGAGTCAAGTCAAAGCAAACAATATCTACTGATTGAGTTTGAATAGAGGGGTGTTTTGGTGGGATGAGAAAGAAGGATTAAAAAAAAAAGAAAAAGAGACAAAAAGAAAAGTGGTTCCATAATTTCGACCACAAAACACGTTATCTCAGTTCCTAATCTTTGTATCTTGGTTACTGCACAATTTGTCCCCTCTCTCTCTCTCTCTCTCTCTCTGAATTCACCTTCTCGCACCACAAAACAAAGCAAAACAAAACAACACCTCGTTTCTAACATTAACAACATTTTCTTCTTTGTTTTTTTTTGGGGACTAAACGACGACACTTCAATATCCATTAACCTTTGTTTAAGCTGTTAGGCACTAGCTTGGTCTTCACCATGTGCCCACTGCTTTACTCTTCTATGTTCCAGCATATACCATTTTGTCTACTTGCCTGCGCCAATCAGCAACCTGGCCCATCTTCTATGTTCCAGAAGATTTTTTCTAATTGGGCCGACCCGTAATTCTTAAACCCAATATCACTTCAATTGGGCCGACCCGCAATTCTCACAATACGTATTTCTAAATAAACAAACAAATAATCGTTTCTTCAATCTTAAAAATTAGGTAGAAATTATTTTCATAACGATTGTATTTATTTTTATTAATTAAAAATATTAAATGATTTTAAACTGAGATTTTAGCCCTTAAGCTTAATTTGGATAGGAAAGAATATTATTATTTAAAAAATTTTAAAATAGGTGGATATGAAAGCAAAAATAAAAATTGGAAATCAGTAGCAAAAGTGAGAATGGCATTGCCACGATTTATTATTTGTCAAAGTCGGTCTCCGCTAATCTTTTGGGTCAATTTAAAGCTACACTTCGTTTCAAACTTTGTACTCAAATTTCAAACATAATAATATTATTATGTTGAATTAAATGTTTATGTTAAGAATAATAATAATAAAAATATCGATCTCACATCGATTAGAGAAGAAATAAAACATTCTAAAACAATAAAGCTAACGAGAATATTTAATGGACTAAAGTTATTAAAATACTTATGGTTAATACTTTACTTGCAACATATATTACTAATGGATATATAATGAAAATAGTTGAATTTGTAAGCCAACAAATGGACCAAACAGCTTAGGATAAGTATGTTGCATTAAAGATCCGACCATGAAATTTCACGAAGATCACATAATCTTTGGTGGGACAATGCCTGTCTTTCTTCCTTCTCAATAATCTTCTTTTCATTTTTTTAAACCACAAACTTTGAAACCAATCTGTATGCGTTTTCACTCGCCCAAACAAGTTTTCAATTCCATCCAGCGTTTCACAATTGGATGTTCACATTACTCATTAACTTTCTCTCCTAAACTTCTTAACTGTTTTTAAATGGAATGATTCTGATTTAGCTTATCAAACTTGGTTATCATTCTTGTTGTCTCGACTATATCTCTACGACTATCATAAACATGCATTATTGGATTTCCCTTCTATTGGTAGTGACCTTCCTCATGACCGTCTATTTTTTCATTTCTATAGTTGCAATGTCATCACGATTGACGTTTTGAAAAGACGTTTCAAGTACTATTAATCATCTTGAAGTGTGATTGGTCACCCAATGTAAAGGAAACAAAAATATTAAGTTTGAGAGTCGATTGAGCACAAAGAAGGCATTGCAACATATATTTTAGAAAATTGATTACCGAATTTATTTCAAAATTAGTCGATCGGGAGAAGGTAAATTTTAAGTTGCCCTAGCACAACGTTACGTGTGCAGATTCTTCTTATTATTATTATTGTGCACGCTTCCTTCACAGGCCTCCTCACGAACGCTTCAAACTAATTATCGAGTCGGTTTTAGCTCCACAAAACCCTAACGTTACATTACAAACACAAGGTCCCTCAAAAAACCAAACCTAAACCCTAGCAAGAGAGAAAACAGCCTGCAAAATCCCAGAAACAAAACAAAAAATCCATTTTTACAGAGGTAAAAAGAGATAAAAAAAAGGGGTGAGACACACAAAAGTCGAAACCTCTAAAAAAAAAAAAGTTACCCCTCTCAAGTGGGTTTGTTCATTTATTACATCATCACAGGCTAATTTATTTTCTCTCAATTTAAGGCAAAAAAGGGGAAGGAAAAAGAAAAGTCAATCTTAAAACAACAAACAAAGTTTGTCTTTTTCTAAAGTTTTAGTTGAAATCCAGCAAAGCTTGTCTTAGATTCTTCACAACATCCTCCACTTTCATACAAAAACCATCATCTACCTGCATTAAATAAACAATATAATTTATCCTCCAAATCCCAACTCCAATTTATGAATTAAATCAACAAATAAAAATAAGCTAAATTATGTAATATAGTACCTGAGCCACAATGGTGATATCGAGCTTAGAGTGGGCGAATGGCAAGGCACTACTGCTGAGGATTGTGAGATTAAGATTCTCAATTTTTCCCAGCAAATAGGAGAGACAACCTTTGCGTTTGTGGCAGTGGATTCGGATAAGAACATCCTTGTTTGAAACCCTTGCTTCTATTTCGGGAACTGGTCGGCCCGAAAAGCTGTTCTCCTCCGATGATATCGTGTCGTCGTCGTCCGAGGAGGAAACTGGGCTCCTTCTTTTCACATACACGGTGGATTGCTCCTCCGACACTTCGGATATCGCTGCCTGTTCCTCCACCACTTTCAAACGCTCTTGAAGCTCTTTTACATATCTTACGGCTCCGCCCAAGATTGAAGCTTTGTCTATCTGTAATAGAAAAACAAACCCATCTATCTATCTATTTACACCGTCTAATAGATCTATAAATTTTGATCTTGATCTTAAATTGGTCTTTTAGAAGCAAATTTGAGAGCTTTTTTAGTCCATTAAACATAATTAAAGGATAAATGGTGAGGTCCCATGTCGGTTGGGAAAGAGAATGAAACATTCTTTTCAAGGGAGTGGAAACCTATCTCGAGCTGACGCGTTTTAAAATCGTGAGGCTGATGGCTATACAAGTCAAAACAGAGAATATGTGCTAGAGTTGTTACAAATAGTATCAGACACGAGTCGGTATGTCAGCAAAGATGCTCGGCTTCGAATGAGGGTGGATTAGGGGTCCACATTGATTGAAGAAGAAATAGTGACGGAGATAAACTCGACCCATGGAAGATCGGGTGCAAAATTTTAAGATTGGTTTAAATATTTACCTTGTTGAGGCCAGGAATGAGAGCTGAAAGAGCAATGAAGCGTTGGCTAAGCTTCTCTCTTCGCTTTCGCTCAGCTAAAACATGTTCTCTAGCATGAAAAGGATTTCTATTAGCAGAACCAGCCGCCTTCTGAACTCCTTGTCGACTGTACTCATTATTCCAACTCTCAGTAATCAACGTCGAGAAATTTAAATTCCCATCGTACTCATAAGCCATCTCAATCTTAGGCTCCACACTGCCCTTCACATCACATCCTTTCCCAGCTTTGCAGTTCAATTTCTCGAAGCTAATAATATGGGACGAGGACGAGGAAGAATCAGCCTTGGGAGCAAACCCTTGAGATGTTGCGCCCTTCCCCTCCACCTCCACCATCAACTGCTTAACCACCCTCTCCGCCACCGCCGACGGCGGATCCGTCGACCCATAAAAGTCCCTCCGCCCATTCTCCTCAAATTTCATCTCATCAAACGAAAATTCAAAAGGGTGCACCTGGAATTCATCCATAAAGTAAGGAGCATCTTCCATTTCCTAAAAAATCAAAAACCCATTAGAAAAAAAAACCGACCAAAATTAATGAAAGAAATCGATAGAACATTTGGTAATTACCCATTCAGACAC